TTTGTAATAGTGTACTAAGTGACTTCAGTTAGACAGTAACCTTGAACCTCCATGTGTTTGTGGGCTACCTTTGAACGTTTCATAACCATGAATCTAAAGCCTGCAATGGCAATAAGTACATCTCTATCAATCAATAATGACCCTAAATGTAAATGTACTGAATGCACCAATCAAAAGACACAACAGAAACACAAAGAATTATTAGAGAATACTAATGGAAGAAAAAAACAAGACCCATCTATATGCTGCCTACAAGAGCCTCACTTCAAACCCAAATACATACACTGAATAAAAGAGAAGGGATGGAAAAAGATATTTCATGCAAATAATAGGGAGAAAAAAGTAGGAATTGCAGTACTTGCATGAAACAAAATAGACTTCAAAACAAAGAAAGTAACAAGAGACAATGAAGGACATTATATAATGATAAAGGGGTCAGTCCAACAAGATATAACCATTATAAATATCTATACACCCAACACAGGAGCACCTGCATATTGAAACAAATACTATCTGAATTAAAGGAGGAAATAGAATGCAATACACTCATTTTAGGAGACTTCAACACTCCACTCGCTCCAAAGAACAGATCCACCAGACAGAAAACAAGTAAGGACACAGAGGCACTGAACAACACACTAGAACAGATGGACCTAACAGACATCTACAGAACTCTACACCCAAAAGCAGCAGGATACACATTCTTCTTCAGTGCACATGGAGTGTTTTCCAGAATAGATAAAATCCTAGGCCACAAAAAGAGACATTAAATTCAGAAATATTGAAATTGTACAAAACAACTTTTCAGACCACAAGGGTATGAAACTAGAAATAAATTACGCAAAGAAAAGAAAATCCCACAAACACATGGAGGTTCAAATTGTCCTAAAATAATCAATGGATCAATGACAAAATAAAAACAGAGATCAAGCAATATATGGAAACAAATGTAAACAACAACTCAACATCACAACTTCTTTGGGACACAGTAAAGGCAGTTCTAAGAGGAAAGCATATAGCAATACAGGCTTATCTCAAGAAAGAAGAACAATCCCAAATGAACAGTCTAAACTCACAATTAATGAAATTAGAAAAAGAAGAAGAAAAGAAATAAGGCCCAATGTCACTAGAAGGAGGAACATAAAAATGATCAGAGCAGAAATAAATAAAATTGAGAAGAAGAAAACAATAGAAAGAATCAATGAAACCAGGAGCTGGTTCTTTGAGAAAATAAAGAAAATAGATAAACCCCTAGCCAGACTTATAAAGAAAAAAAGAGAGTCTACACACATAAACAGAATTAGACATGAGAAAGGAAAAATCACTATGGACACCACAGAAACACAAAGAATTATTAGAGAATACTAAAATAATATGCTAACAAATTGGATAGCCTAGAAGAGATGGACAACTTTCTATAAAAATACACAACATTCCAAGACTGACCCAGTAAGAAATAGAAAATCTGAGCAGACCAATTACCAGCAATGAAATTGAATACGTAATAAAAAAACTACCTAAGAACAAAACCCTGGACCAGATGGCTTTACTGCTGAATTTTACCATTCATTTAGAGAAGGCTCAATACCCATCCTCCTTAAAGTTTTTCAAAAAGTAAAAGAGGAGGGAATACTCCCAAATTCATTCTATGAAGCCAGCATCACTCTAACACCAAAACCTGGCAAAGACACCACAAAAAAAGAAAATTACAGACCAATATCCCTGATGAACATATATGCAAAAATACTCAAGAAAATATTAGCAAACTGAAATGAAAAATACATCAAAAAGATCATCCTTCATAATCAACTGGGATTTATTCCATGGATGCAAGGATCATATAATATTCAAAAATCCATCAACATTGTACACCACATCAACAAATAGAAGGACAAAAATCACATGATCATCTCAATAGATGCTGAAAAAACATTTGACAAAATTCAACATCCATTCATGATAAAAACCCACAACAAAATGGGTATAGAGGGCAAGCACCTCTACATAATAAAAGCCATATACAATAAACCCACAGCCAACATCTTAACAGCAAAAAGCTGAGAGCTCTTCCTTTAAGACTGGGAACAAGACAAGGATGCCTACTCTCCCCACTTCTATTCAACATAGTACTGGAGATCCTAGCCACAGCTATCAGGCAACACAAAGAAATAAAAGGCATCCAGATTTGTAAGGAAGAATTTAAATTGTCTCTGTTTGCAGATGACATGATATTGTACATAAAAAACCCTAAAGAATCCACCACAAAAATACTAGAACTAACAAAGTCACAAGATACAAAATTAATACACAGAAATCTGTTGCATTCTTATATACTAATGATGAACTAGCAGAGAGAGAAATCAGGAAAACAATTCCATTTACAATTGCATTAAAAAGAATAAAATACCTAGGAATAAACCTAATGAAGAAGGTGACTTATACACTGAAAACTACAAGACACTCATAAGAGAAATTACAGAAGACACCAATAAATGGAAATACATCCCATGCTCATGGATAGGAAGAATTAATATTGTCAGAATGGCCATCCTTCCTAAAGCAATCTACAGATTCAAGCAGTGCCTATCAAAATACTAACAGAATTCTTCAATGAACTAGAGCAAATGTTCTAAAATTCATATGGAACCACAAGAGACTGAATAGTCAAAGCCACCCTGAGAAGGAAGAATAAAGCAGGGGGGATTATGCTCCCCAACTTCAAGCTCTAGTACAAAGCCATAGTAATCAAGACAATTTGGTACTGGCACAAGAACAGGCCCATAGATCAATGGAATAGAATAGAGAGCCAAGATATAAACAAATCCACAAATATATGGCCAATTAATATATGGTAAAGGAGCCATGGATATACAATGAGGAAATGACAGCCTCTTCAAAAGCTGGTGTTGGCAAAACTGTACAGCTACATGTAAGAGAATGAAACTGGATTATTGTCTAACTCCATGCACAGAAGTAAAGTCAAAATGGATCAAAGGCCTGAATGTAAGTCATGAAACCATAGGCAAAACTCTCTTGAATATGAACATGAGCAACTTTTTCCTGAACACATCTTTTCAGGCAAGGGAAACAAAAGTAAAAATGAACAAATGGGACTACATCAAACTAAAAAGCTTCTTTATGCAGAGAACACTATCAGTAGAACAAAAAGGCATCCTATAGTATGGGAGAATATTTTTTTAAAAGATATATCTGATAAGGGGTTAACATCCAAAATATATAAAGAACTCACTCACCTCAACTCCCAAAACGCAAATAACCTGATTAAACAATGGGTGGTGAATCTAAACAGACATTTCTCCAAAGAAGAAATTCAGATGGTTAACAGGCACATGAAAAGATGCTACACATCGCTAATCATCAGGGGAAATGCAAATTAAAACCACAATAAGATATCACGTCATACCAGTTGGGATGGCCAACATCCAAAAGACAAGGAACAACAAATGCTGGTGAGGATGCAGTGAATGGGGAACCCTCCTACACTGCTGGTGGGAATGTAAATTAGTTCAGCCACTGAGGAAAGCAATATGGAGGTTCCTCAAAACACTAAAAATAGAAATACCATTTGACCCAAGAATTCTACTCCTAGGAATTTACCTGAAGAAAACAAGATCCCAGGTCAAAAAAACATGCACCCCTATGTTTATCACAGTATTATTTATAATAGCCAAGATATGGAATCAACCTAAGTGTCCATCAGTAGATGAGTAGATAAAGAAGAGGTGGTACATATACACAACAGAATATTATTCAGGCATAAGAAGAAAACAAATCCCACCATTTGCAACAACATGCATGGAGCTAGAGGGTATTATGCTCAGTAAAATAAGCCAGGCAGAGAAAGACAAGTACCAAATGATTTCGCTCATTCGTGGAGTATAAAAACACAGTAAAACAAGGAAAAAAACAGCAGCAGACTCACAAACTCTAAAATGGGACTAGTGGTTCCCAAAAGGGAGTGGTGTGGGAGGGAGGGTTGGGAGGAAGGGAGAAGGGGATTGAGGGGCATTATGCTTAGCACACATAATGTAGGGGGATCACAAGGAAGGCAGTATAGCACAGAGAAGACACATAGTGACTCTATAGCATCTTACTACACTGATGGACAGTGACTGTAATGGGGTGTTGTGGGGGAATTGATAATACGGGTGAATGTAGTAACCACAATGTTGTTCATGTGTAGCCTTCATGGGATTGTATATCAATGACACTTTAATAAAAAAAAAGTTCAGGTTGATAACATTTGTAGTTTTCACCAATTATTTTACAAAATGTTACAGTGATCCAGGCCATTATAATTACCCCTACTCAGAGGTGAAATAGCAAAAGAAATGAAACCATTATGTCCAGACATCCAACTAGTCAGATTCTACAGAGAATTAGAATATTTGTCTATTTAAACAGGATATGTTTAAGTTGATCTTTTTAATTCTCACATTTCTTTTCCCTTAAGTGCTGCTGTTGAGTCCCTGATAAAAAGTTACCGGGAAGGAAACCTGAGGAAACCCAGGGCGGCCCTGCAGGACCCCAGGACTGTTGCCCACGCTTGTTTCCTCTGACAAGCAGCGTCCAGTGTTCCGAGCGGCACAGCTGTTGTGCAGAGATGCCCCACAGCTCGACGGACTCTGCAAGAGCCGCGCTCCCCCCACATTCCCGTGAGGGAAACACAGGTATGAACAGAACAGTACACTAGATAGAGGCATGACTTGGTGGATAATTGCTGAATACAGGTATCATCTTAAACCTCCCACTTTAGCCTCTGTGTCATCCAATAATATCACTCACAAATTTGGCAATATGCCTAAGATCACTGTTGGAACACTTCCTTATTTAGCACCCTCTTTTGGGTTAGGTAATTGGGAAGATATTTTTATTTCCTTGTTTAGCCATTAAAAAAATGCTTTAAGGATTTCCTACAATTTCACTCAGAAAGATAAAATCTCTAAAATGTGAAATGTCAGTGTCTATTGAATACTCACCTAAACCAGACTTTTTCAGTCGTTTTAAGTGCTGACTCTGCTTTCCAGTGGGAGACTTTGGCCCATGTTTCATTTCTTTATCTGAACTATCTGCTTCACCATTTTTAGATTCGGATCCTAAAAAAGGAAATAGTTATTATATCATTATCTTCCTCTTGCTGTCCTTAAGAAGAAAAATCTAAAAAGTGTTTTAAAAACCACAGATAAAATCTTCTTTTCTAAGAGTTAATTCACTACCTTTGGCCACAGTCTGATTCCTCTACTGGATATAAATAGAAAAGCCCAATAAAATAATCAAACAGAACAAAATGCAAGAACAGATAGCCTAAAGTGGAATCACAAACACGTTCACTGATCTGATAGCTTTTAAAAGAAACACTCAGATCTTTTGTAAAAATGTATTTACAGTCTTCAACAATACCAAACCATTTAGAGAAGATGCAGGACAGAAAGATGAAGGCAGGAGACAGGCTTTAGAGAGGGACAGCCATACCTTTATAAATGACTGTACACTGAAGTAGGAACAGAGAACGCAAACATCAATTTATAATGAACAGAACGGTACACAGCTGATAGTGACAGAAAGTAAATTAGAAGAAGGGTCAGGGCTGCACGGAGGTGAGAAGGATGTTCCAAGAACACAGACTAAAAAAGCATCCTGATTTTGCAGCCGAGGATGGAAAAACAAATTCACACTCACGGAAGAACTGTGTCTGCTGGCACTGCACATCAGCATGAGGTCCACCATTAACGGGTCAGTATGCAAACAAAAGCCAAAGCCACAGAAACCCGCCCGCAGCCCCAGGACTGACATTAGCACATCAAGTCTTGAAATGATGAGTGACGTGGGGCCTCTTTCCTTCAGGAGCGAAACACCCTATTATTTTTGAATCACTGAAAGAGCCAAAGGTATAAAAAAATTAAATGAAACCTCAAGTAGAAATACTATTCGGTTTCAGAAAAAATTCATGATGTGTCTCCCAGTGAGGACGTCTCCTGCGGGAATAAGTGGCTGAGTGCACGGTATTTCAGCTCCTTACCTGAAGGTGAGTCTGACTGTTCGCCAGACACCTTCAATGGTGTCAGGACCACGCGAGGAACAGTCTTGTTTACCATCACTGAGACCCCATTTCTTCTTTTCTGCTGCTGCCTCAAAGCCTAGAAAACATGATAATAAAATATAGTATAAGAATATAGCCTGAATGACTTCTCATAATTGAATTAAATGATCCATTTTCCTCTTATTGGATAGAACCTCTTAATAGATTTAAAATCCATGGGGTCACTAATTTGTCAGGATTCCTAATAGGCACATTCATGTCCTTTTTCCTCAAAAGCATAGAATCAGGGGCTAGCAAGGGGCACAACCCTGAGACCATTTCTGATACAATTCTGAAGACAGAGCTGCTTACAGCTCAGTCCGCCCTGGCAGCATGGCTGGGGGCCCACGATGTTTGAGGCTGTGACTCCTGTAAAACAAATGTTTTGAGACCAGGATAAACACACGTGTCTGCATGTTGAGGTGCGCCTTCTCCAGCCCGCTGTTCAGTCTGCCAAGTCAGCAGTGGGGGTCATCAGTATGGACAGCAAGTGAGGACCACAGTCCTGATGGCCTCACTCAGCCAGGGGAAGTGCTGCAGAGCTCCCCGAATGTGGCCGGCATCACTCACTCCCGTGAAGGGAACCAGCCCTGGTCTGGAAGCCCTGCAGCACTGGGCTTCTGTCTGCCTGACTTTGGGCACCAATCTTCAGAACACGGACATGATGGTGTTCTGGCAAACCCGGGGAAAAAACTGATGTGGGAATAAATCTCTCCAAGTGGGAGTGCTTTGCGTTTCATAAATGAATCAACCACAGGGATGATAATGTAATAAAAGACGTTTACAAGTTCTGAAATACAGCTTATCTAGCTGATCTCTTTACACAGAAAATTACCTGTAATAAAAAGGGTCTTCAGCACATGAAACTGAAGAAACATTAAATTCACTGATACAGGAATGCTAAAACTCCTCAAAAGGTCAAAGGCTGGCCACAGACAATCTCAGACCCTTTTATTCCTGGTTTCTGTGTAATTTCTAACAATTTTATAACATCTCAGTTACTTGATTAATGTTCTTCGACCAGCACTGTCACAACCTCCTGAAATACGGCACTGACTACATCCTCCTGCTGCCAGAAACAACATCACTTTATTTGCAAAGGGTATTAGCTCAATGGCTAACTTGTAGATTATAAGATTGAGCAATCAAATAATTATAGGGGTGAAAACTTAAACAGCATTTGAATGAGAGCCGGCCTATTCAGATGAGACTTAAAACCAGATGAGAAAGTGAATGGCTTGGGAAATCTTTTACAAATGATACCATTGTAAATGATAACACAAGACAACTTCTCTTTATTACATTTATTGATTTTTTTAATTGAGTTTTTATAAAGTAGCAGGTACTGTGGGGAGACAACAGATACAAAGATGAGTAAGGTCCTGCCCTCCTCACCTTTAGCTTGCTGTTGATAATAATGTATTTAATGAGAGCATGTGTGCCCTAAAATATTTAAGACATTTACTTTCTTTAATCAAGGTGTATACATGACTGCATAAATCTCTATAGCTGTGTGCAAGAACTCAAAGCACTTTATAGACATTAACCATCAATCTAGTAATAAAACAGAATGAGTTGACATAGCGCCTTGAATCATGATTAAGTGCATCTCTGCCCATTACATAAGACTTAGAGAACAGTAAAACCTATCCAAAAAAATAACCAATTTTAGGGCTCTGTACATCATAGATTTCAACTACTTCCCTTGGCAATCCAAATAACCATTTTAAAAATATTTATTTTATGTCAGAGTAGGCAGGCGTATTTTGGAAACTTGGCTAAAGAAAAAAAAAGATGAAATAACAAAAGCCTGGAAACTGGAATCATAGCATCAAGGATGACATGCCTTTTTATAGCATTGGTGACAAACAATAATGTAACAGGAATTCTGTCCTCAATTTTTAGAGCTGAGAGGACTCTATTATGGAAAAATTAGTAGCTGAAAAAAGAGAAACCATGATGGAAACAATACTAGGGAGGCCAGGAGGAGGGGAGCAGAACCCGAGCGACTTCTATTTTTAAGAGTCAAGGTGGGGCCAGGATCAGAATAAAGGAGTGACAGTCAATATTGAGCACATTTCAGTGGTTTCTTTTTCTGAATATGTGTTTCCTATTTAGAAATTTGAACAGCATTTTTAAAAATACTGAAATGCAATACTATGTGCCTGCAAGTGACCAAATACCCACCTTATAAGGAAAACAATTGTTTTAAGTGTATCAAAAATGTGTACTTTTTTGTTTAACTCTCAAAACAAGCAATATATTTCACCCCAAAGAACATTTCTAAGGGGAGATAAGCAAAAATCATAGTCTTTGTTCACTGTGCCACTCATGGCAGCAGTGAAGCGGTGGCTAGGCAGCCTCTGAGGGGCGCCAGGGTTCAGCCGCCAAACAGACATCTAACTGCCGTCACCAGTCCCCACGCCCACAGGCACTTGAGGCCACCATGAGGGCTCAGATTCACTTTCCAGGAAGAAAGCAGGATTTATTTGACTCTGGACACTGGGACACCCTCCAAGCAGATTAGAATATGGATGGAGGGGAAAAGGCAATGTCGGCTCCATGGAGATGTTTGCGGGGGCCTGGGCTGGCAGTTATATCAAGAAGCTAGCTGTTTATGTTTTTTTTGGGGGGGTATGTAACTATTTCTGCAACTACGTGCACATTGACCATTCAAATGTAGGCTGTATGTCTCCTCAAGATGTCCTGAAAAATGTGCAATGCTTTTTGGACTAGTAACTACTCAACACAACCTGGATTTTTAGGTGAGTTTTCCTCTTTTTAAACAATGTGCCACATAAAACAAAAATGACTCTGAGCTAAATTCAGCTTGAAGGGATCAGTCTGATACCTCCTAAACACTGCTCCCCTGGACCGCTGCCTAAACAGAGGTGTTCAAATCCCCTCCCCTACTGTGCTGACCTGCAATGGGACGGGGCCTGCTGGACAACCATCTGAATGACTCTGGGATGCAATGGATGGGGGCCAGGCTGTAGAGAAAGACATGCAGGGTAAATTACGTGGGTAAAATGTCCCTGTAAAATAAGAGACAGTAGTGTTGGTAAGATTTTTTAAACAGAAACTCCATAGAGCATCATTTAGCATAGTTTAACACACATGGTAAATACTCCATAAACATTACGTTCTATACCTATATAATCTATCCATCTGCAATGAATGTGTTCTCTGAGGACCTGCTCAGTTGCGTGCAGCATAAACGCTGCTGACCATAGTGGTGAGTAAGACAAAAATTTTGTTCTGATAAATTTACATTTTAGTGAAAGACTGACAAAGAGTCACATAAAATAAACATAGTAATACCACACATACACAGTGCCAAGGATGATGAGGTAGAATAATGGTGGGGAGGAAAATCAGTCTAGCTTGGGAGGCCAGAAAAGGCCTCTCTTTGGAGGCGAGCATGGGTGTGAGAAGGATGGACCAGGCATGTGGAGACCGAGGAAAGCAGCAGATGGCCGCAGACAGGATCCTTGGCGATCTGAGGACTAAACAGTGTAGCTGGGAAAAATCCCTGTGGAGATCCCAGAAATGGGAAGAGCTCCCCAAAACCACGGCAAAGGCTTTATTAGGGGGAGGGGTGCATGTCCACAGCAAAGCCGCCCTGTGCCCAGTCCCATCCCCTTGGCGAGGTGGCCGCACTAGCATTCTGTGCTGAAAGTGAGGCGCTGCACTGAGAGCATGGCGTGCCCCCCGCAGACAGCCATGTCTGCCTTCACGCATGTCGCCAGCACAGGCTGAGCAGGCTCCACAGCAGAAATGCACCGCGTCCCATTCGGACAAGTTTCCCCACAGGTTGTGAGCACTTGGGCGTTTTAAGGAGGGCCTGTAAGCACTCCAGGCACACTCTGCCTCAGAGCTGTGGTGTGAGATCACTGTGCACATGCCTCCCTCAGACACCTGTTTCCTCATGTACATGAGGCTTTACTCGTTGTCTGAGACACTCTGGGCTCTACAACAAAATGCTGCAGACCAGGTGGCTCAGAGACAACAGAAATTCATCTTTCACAGTCCAGAGGATGGAGGTCTGAGATTGGGGTGCCAACACAGCCCGGTGAGAGCCACCCTCCTGGTCCTGACTCAGGGCGGCGCCACAGGGCACAAGAGGCTCAGCAGCTCTTGTGGGATCCCTGCTCAGGGAGCCCTGGTCCCCTTAGGAAGGCTCCCCCCAGGGCCTCCAGGAGACCTCGTCTCCAAATGCCATCTGAGCATTAGGTTCCAAATGGGAATCTGGGGGAACACGTGCAGACCATGGCGCTCTTACGCTGCTTTTCCCATTATGTCCCAGCTCCACCACCCACTCTGCTTCATTTATTTTTCCTCATGGAAAAAAGGTTAATATAGGTCCTACAAATGACAGGGATTGATGACTTCTTTGTTCACTGAATCACCAGTGCCCAGAAGATTACCTGGAATACAGGTGCTCACTAAATGTTTAAGTGGAAATGAAAGCTCTTAAAAATAAGTTTATTATAAATAGAAAGGTCTCATATATCTTTCCTTAAGATATATAACAGGTTTATTAAAAAGGTAGAAATCAGCATCGAACAATGAAGAAATAACTTTATTCTCCTAACATTACATTCACACGTGTTCTGACCAACTTCTTGTTTCTGGACAGTAACTTGCATAGAACATACAGCTTCTTGGGTCACCTTCAAGAATTCATACAGTCTCCATTTCAGGTCTGAAAACTTGAAGTTGAATATAAAGTGTCCCTTCTGCTGTCCTCAGGCCACACCAATGTCTTGGGCTAAAACCTTTACTAGAGAAGAGATTTCTGATTCTACTCCTCCAGGACTGGAATTGAGAATGAGGAGTGAGAGCAGGTCAAGGCTCTCCTAGGTTAAGACCGTCACAGCCACGGCGCCACGATCTCTCGGGAGGCAGAGGATGCTAACTTCAGTGGCAGCCATGAGAACATAGCTCAGAGGCCTTTGTGGGGTGGGGAGGCCACTGAACCTACACGCTCTGCTGACATGGACTCAGTGAGCGTGGACCCTACACACCAGGAGTCCTTCCACCTGGCTGACAGCCTCC